GTGACTTGATATCGATTATAATATGTTTCAACATCCTTAGCCGAAAGTTTTTTTACATCACCTAAAGACATTTTAATTCCCGTGTAAGTTTCTATAGTTCCTAAAACAGCCAGGATAGACAGCTGCTCTCTTTTCTCTTCAACTTCGGGAGAGTCCGGCTTTTTCGTTGTACGCTTCTTTTTCGTTTCTACTGGTCTCTCGACCGGAGTTTCAACAGTTTCTTCAAGCAGTTCAATTATCGGATCCATATATATTAGGAATTTCAATATAACAATTGTAAGGATGTCGGAGGCAAAAACAAATACGGGAATATTTCTCAGATTTCAATATCTTCATAAATTCTTTYTTACTTTCAGCTGATAGCTCACCACCAAATTCATCAAAAAGAGTTTGATTTGCAACCTTATTCAGGGTGAAAAAACTAATAATGCAAGCTACATTTTCTCTAAAAGGTTTCGCTATAGCCGTCAGCTGTTGTGTAAGAACCCACATGCTTATATTATTATGCCTTCCTGAAAAAGCAAGACTTATAAACTTACAGTACCGCCCAGAACTCTCTTAACAAAAAAACGCGTTTAAAACGCGCGTGCTTTCGTTTAAACGCGTTCAATTGCGTTCAAACGCGTTCAATTGCGTTCAAACGCATTCGAATTCGTTTGGACGAGTTCAAACGCGTTTAAACRCAAACGCATTGCTCTCTGGTCATATTCAAACGCGTTCGCGTTCGAACGCGTTTTTCAACAGCATTAAAACCATTCAAACTAAGACAAGCAAAGACATCCAGTAAAACGAATTTATAAGAACCCTGAACATGGCACAGTATAAGCTTGTACTGATGGTATATGTATGTATCAAGTTCAGTTATCAAGAGTCTCAAAATACAAGATGGGTTTCCACCCACGAGCTGCAAATTAGCGCAATACATTTGATATTAATCAATTCAACAACACAGTTACTTTAAAATCAGTTTATTTGTATACAGTATAAATAATAAGCTAGTATAAAGTATAATATTAAGGTCTAAGGTCGCCAATAAAAAGGAGATATATCGCGATGGATTACACTTAAGTCAATTACTATTACTGAGTTCTACTAGCAAACTTCATTCCTCTAATGTAGGAATCGATGGCTTTTCTGCAAGATGTCCACTGAGTTTCGATATTCCTTACAGGAACAGGAAAATATCTAGATATCGCTTGCTTAATATTTGAAATCCTGGCTGGATCTAGTGGTTGCTTTCCCTGAACTCCTCGTACATTTCGACCTTCGAGTTCCTCCTTATTAAATAACTTTCTTACAAGTTTTACTGCAAAATTCCTATCTGACGATGCTTCTTTGCTTAAATCAAAAAAATCTAAATTATGAGCGTTTGAGACAATACTACATGTAGGTGCAGGGATGTCAGATGTTATCGGAATGTCAACCAGAGCCTCCGCATTCTGTAAAAGTTCCGAGTTAAAATCAAAACATTCATTTTGCGGTTGATTTCCTTGAGAAAATAAATCTATGATAAAGTTTAACTTATCAATTATAATGTTTTGCTGTCTCTCAAGTGATTCTAAACGTAGCAAAACTTCTGGATCAGTCTCACAGCCTCGCAAAAGAGAATTGATATGTTGTGCTGTTTCCATGGTAGTCTCATAGCCACTGGAAAACAAACCA